TACAGCTCTTAGCACTTTCTTCGGCTGGAGTTGGAGCTCTTTTGTGCTACTTGGCATGGAAGCAAAGCCCCAAAACGATACCAATGGGAGATGGCTGGTGGGGAGCTGGGGAGAAGCCTTTAACTGAGGACAAAACTATTTACAGATTTGTAGTGAAGACTTCGGTGGAAGAGATAGAGGTGGGCACACAACCACCTGAACAGTAATAATGTTGTGTAATGCAAGGGGAGCATATTTTGGGTGAAGAATTACATGTAGATCAACAGGTAAAGAATCAAATAATAGGTTTTTCACATAAATCCACACAAGATCATTCTTCTCGGCTTTCATATTTCATGTGCTTAGCATACATTTACTCAACCACAATATATTTATGTTATCATTAACTGCACTGTTTTCTTCAGGATCTGCACAGACGCATTGATCAAACACGCTTCACGGATCCACTGGAGGATTCCTGCTTTCATTATGGATTTAACTCGTCTTACCTTAAACGGGTGGTCTCTTATTGGAGACAGGAGTTTGACTGGGAGAAGCAGGTGAAGGTGATTAACCAGTATCCTCACTTCAAAACCAAAATTGAGGGTAAGAACAAAATACTTTTAAAGGATATAATTTACCTGACTAGATAAAAACCTGTTGTAACAAAGTATGCAATTTTCACATTATCTTTTAAAGGAACACGTCGACCTTTTGGGACTTTAGCTTATTCACTCCCAGAGTTAGATAAGTCTATACATGCTTTTTAATCTCTGTGCGTGCTGTAACTCTATCTGACACACGTACTGCTAGCCTAGCTTAGCACAAAGACTGGATGTAAATGGCTCCAGCTAGCATACTTATCCCAATAAGTGACAAAATAATGCAAACATTTTCCAATTTATATGTGATTTGTATGGTCACAGAGTGTACAAAAAACAAGGTCATATGAGACGCAGCCATATTTTAACCGTATAAATACTGGGAACTATACACTCACCCTAAAGGATCATTAGGAACACCATACTAATACTGTGTTTGACCACCTTTCACCTTCAGAGCTGCCTTAATTCTATGAGGCATTGACTCAACAAGGTACTGAAAGCGTTCTTTAGAAATGTTGGCCCATATCAATAGGGTAGCATCTTGCAGTTGATGGAGATTTGTGAGATGCACATCCAGGGCATGAAGCTCCCATTCCACCACATCCCAAAGATGCTCTATTGGGTTGAGATCTGGTGACTGTGAGGGCCATTTTAGTACAGTGAACTCATTGCCATGTTCAAGAAACCAATTTGAAATGATTAGAGCTTTGTGACATAGTGCATTACCTTCTGGATGTAGCCATCAGAGGATGGGTACATGGTGGCCATAAAGGGATGGACATGGTCAGAAACAATGCTCAGGTAGGCCGTGGCATTTAAACGATGCCCAGTTGGCACTAAGGGGCCTAAAGTGTGCCAAGAAAACATCCCCCACACCATTACACCACCACCACCACCAGCCTGCACAGTGGTAACAAGGCTTTTCAGACCATTCTTTGTAAACGCTAGCAAGCAACTGCCATGTGATTGGTTGAATTGGTAATTGCATTAATGAGAAATTGAATGGGTGTTCCTAATAATCCTTTAGGTGAGTGTATTCTCAGAAGGCGAAGCACAGCTACTTGCTACTATTCTCAAAATATCGATTCCTGTAATAATAATTCTTTATTCGTCTTCTGTGATATTTATTAATCAGGATGCGTTTTTGTTTGGAATTCTGTGACACATTACCTGGTCTCCCCTGTTTATTGTTGCAGCTCTTTACAATACAGCGAACACCCATGATTGTAAACTATGCTTTTACCATCTAGTAATTGCTGACTCTATTACTTCAACCCTGAATCAACTCTCTGCTCCTCATCACGAATGCTTCTCAGGTGCTGCGGTAATCACTCCGCCAAGTAGCAGTGCTTCGCCTTCTGAGAATATAGTTCCCAATATTTGTACGATTAAAAGATGGCTGTGTCTCAAGTGACCTTGTTATTTGTACACTCTGTGACTCTTTTGGGATTAGTATGCTAGCTGGAGCCATTTACATCCAGTCTTTGTGCTAAGCTAAGCTAGTGGTGGGTGTGTCAGACAGAGTTACAGCACGCATAGAGATTAAAAAGTATGTATGGACTTATCTAACTCTGGGGGATACGGTGAATAAGCTAAAGTCCCATAAAGTTGGCAACATTTTAGTGAAATTCTGTACTGCTTTTCAGGTATAGATGTGCATTTCGTTCATGTGAAGCCTGTTCAGAAGTCTGGAAAGACAGTTCTTCCTCTCATGATGGTTCATGGCTGGCCTGGTACCTTTTATGAGTTTTACGGGATTCTGCCCTTGCTTACTGAGACGGATTCAAATGTGGTCTTTGAGGTCATCTGTCCCTCCATTCCAGGCTACGGCTACTCTGAAGCACCACATAAAAAAGGTAAGTCTACCAACATGCAACGGGTTGCAAGAACTAATTCTATAGACAATCAGCTACAAGGTACATCAGTGCCTTTCACCAGTGCCTTTCACAATGTAATTTTTCCATTCATAGCAAATACCATGAATTAACAACCTCGTAGCTCACAGTAGGTCTGTCTTTAAAGGTTTATAAAGTATTGTATAAAAATCAATTTCCCTATGGAGAAAATTAATGTAGTTTTTACTTCCAGAACCAGACTGTTGCACTCAGACCTGAATAACTTGTTACTGACAAACAAATGGCATAATGGCATATTGATAATAATATACAATCTTAACATCTGTAAATAGATGGAAAATAAACCTGCTATTCTTTCTATTATTTCATGTGAAGGTTTTAATACAATGGAAGCTGCCCGCATCTTCCATAAGCTGATGGAAAGACTGGGGTTCACTGAGTTTTATGTGCAGGGAGGAGACTGGGGAGCTTTCATTACCAGCAACATGGCCCAGATGAAGCCAGAGTAGGAGTTTCACACCCTTTACTATCCAAATCACCGTCCTTTTTATGACACAAATTCTCTGTCAATGTATTATTTGTTACTTTTTTCCATGTTTAATTAAGACAGAGCAATACATTTTAGAATAGTCAATTAAAACGTTGCCTATTGCTCTCTGTAAAATAAGGTGTGTTCGTGGTCTACACTTGAACATGATCATTGCCAGGACAGACAGCCTTGGACAGCTCCTCTCCTTAGTCATTGGTCGCTACCTGCCATTCCTGGTGGGCTTTACAAAGGAAGATGTCAGACGACTCTATCCCTACATGGAGAAGAATGTATATGATATACTGAGAGAAACCGGCTATTTACACATTCAAGCCACTAAACCGGACACAGCAGGTAGGCTTGACACAGCAGCTTGGCACATATTATAAAATGCTGATGTGTCATGTCAAATTAACACTTAATTGAGCACTTCATTTATCTAAAAATATATCTTTTTTGTGCATTTTGTCATTCCTGCAGGTTGTGGACTGAATGACTCTCCAGTCGGATTGGCTGCATATATCTTGGAGAAATTCTCCTCCTGGACAGACTTGGGAAACAGAGACTTGGAGGATGGAGGTTTGGAGAGGTAAAGAGAGTTTAATCACATACAGGTGCAATTATTTTTGCACAGATATAAATAAACACTACCATTTTTTTTATGTTTTTGAAAGAAATCTTTTATGTTCATAAAGGCTGCATTAATTTGATTTTATTTATTTGAAGTACAGTAGAAAAACAATAATATTATGAAAGATTATAATTTAAAATAACTGTTTTCCATTTAAATGATTTATTCCTGTGATGGAAAAGCTGAATTTTCAGCATCAATACGGCAGTCTTCATTGTCAGATGATCCTTAAGATATCATTCGTATATGCTGGTTTGGTGCTCAAGATTTTTTTTCTCTTATTGTATCGTTGATAATGGTGGTTGTAGTTGAATATATTTTTGTAAAAATCTATAATATTTTTTAGGATTCTTTGATTAAAAGAAAGTTAAAAGAAAAGCATTCTTTTGAGATACAACTGCTTTTGTAACATGTCTAATAATTTTAATATCAATTATAATAAATCATATCAATAATAGATACATTTATAATATATGTAAGATAAATAATACATTTTGATAAATTTAAGATATCTATTCATTTTTGAACACGGATGAATACATTCTAAAAAATCAAAGGGTCTAGTTTGATTTGAATTAATTTTTTTTGTTCCATTGTAGGAAGTTCAGTCTAGACGATCTCCTTACAAATGTCATGATCTACTGGACCACATGTTCCATCATTCCCTCAATGCGTTTCTACAAAGAGAACCTGAAGAAAGACTTCAAGACAAGGGTGGACAGAGTGTAAGTTTCAAAAAATTTGTAGTGATCTGAAGTGAATACTCATCATAAAAGGATTGTCAAAATGAACATGATTAACATGCTTTAACATGATTTTCAACATATATTTTAAAAAATAATTCTTTGCAGCATATCCCAAAAAAGGCTAAATTGTTTTCCTCCCTTTCTCTGAAAGGACAAGTGTGTTTGTGCCCACTGGCCTGGCTGCCTTTCCCGATGAGTTACTCCACTGTCCTAGAGCCTGGGCCAGCTCACGGTTTGCAGATGTGCTTTCTTTCACCTACATGAGCCGAGGGGGACACTTCGCTGCCTTCGAAGAACCCCAGCTTCTGGCTAATGACATCATTCAGTTTGTGGAGAAAGTGGAGAAAAAAATCCACAAATAACAGCTTTATTCCAATATCTTAAGAAAATGCACTGCTCTGGGCTCAGTTTACAAAAAGCAGTGCATGCTTAAGCTGATAGTAGAACAATTTGCCACCAATGGTATCTACGATCAACATAGGCTTACTATGCTTTGGGGAAAAAGCAGCACTGATTGTTTCCATTTAGTGTTAGAAATACAAGGTTTTTCAATGTACCAAATGAGGTTATATAATGATGTTCTGTTCAATATAATTTAGACTTTTTTTTTTTTGCCTGATGTCTTGTGCATAAAACTATGTACTCTTTTTTTTATTTTTTACTTTGTGCTATATTAAAGTCTGCAAAGTTTCAAAAGCTCACCTCTGCTTGTTAAAGAGAAACCTAGTTTCATGGAATATTACAATATACACTACAATCATTACAGTATCATTTCAATTAGTTTAATGAACTCTGACCTTAAGATTGAATGTTCTTTTTAAGTGAATGGAAATGCTAATAAATGCAAATAAAAGCAGTAAAGTAAAATGTTAAAATTGCATTATTTTCATTAAAATATATAATGGCAGACTTGAAGAGCCCTTAAACACAATTCATTGTTAAGTGAACTAAAATTGTTTACATTACTCAGTTTACAAAAGCTACTTAGCAGATGGTTTTAATTCATTGTGACTTAAAGAAAATGATACAAATGGTCTTAGAGTAGCAGCTCAGATTATAAAACAACAGTAAAATAATGTAAACATGGCATAAATAATCTGCAGTTATAAAACATTCAAGTTCAAACAGAATTTCTGAATAAAGCATATTTAAAAAAAACCCAAAAGCTCATTATTTTTTTTTGGCCAGTCATACAATGATCCCTGAGAATGGAGTGAATTGTATTCCAACATCCCCTGAAATCTGTTACTGTTTATTCCCTCATCATTTACAGAATCCTTTCACAGTGACAGGGACCTGAAACCATATATAGTCCTCCATGTCTCTCTTACTTTTTTGTAGTTCCCCGGCAAGTGACAAATCACTGGCTATAGAGATGACTTGCCTTTTCACTTTTGTGGGAAATTTAAAATCTACTTTGGGTTTAAACCCAGTCACGCCACAATCCCGGTGCCCCAGAGCCATGACTGTGGTGGTCATGAGACGCACAGACTTGGCATCCGACAACAGGTCGGCCACAAATAGCGTCCGGAAAAGCTGTCTTAGACAGCTTGAGGTCCTTAAGCTTTTTTCACCGGCTTCAACAGCCAATGCTTCCATGTTGACCTCATACAGCTCAGTGGGAAGGATGGTAGATCCACCCAGAAGAAAAAGCACACAGGGAACATGGCTAAGAGAAAATAGGGCCTCAAGGTGAGCCAGCACCTCATCCAACTCCTGCAACATCCGCTGGCAACGACGCCAGTCCAAGCCCCCTGATGTCTTTGCGGACCGTCGGTTCACCGTGTCCTCCGTCTGTGAAAAAGAAAGCAGTTATCATCCCAGATACAAACTACAATTCAATTCAAACACACATTAAGCCTTCTGTAATACCTGAGTGGTATTATGCTGCTGTTTCTGTAGGAACACCATTTGGTCATATGTCATTGGCATCTGTTGCCGCTGGTAAAGGACACACTTCAGAAGCTCGCAAACTAATCTACAGCAACCATCCTGGGTGATGTGCCCGGGGAAGACGACATTCACTCGTCCTTCCTCTCTCGCTCTCCTGAATATTTCCTCATCATCAATATGGTGTGCAGATATTTCACTAGATTCCCCCTGACTGCCAGAAGAACTGGCCAAAGCATTTGTCTGCTGGCAACCTTGAAATGAGACATTTACATGACACTATTAACTTGATAACTGAAAAGAAAATTAGCAGAATAAAAAAAAAAAAAATCTGAGATTTGATCTGTTTAGCCTGAGGCGAAGACTAGAATAGACAGATATATGGGTCAATGATGCGACACATTTTAATTTTGTCCAAATCAAATAATTTGATATAAAAAACATAATATAACATATCAATAAAATGTGTAATGTGTTTTTGTGCGTTTTTTAAAATTATTTGTAATCCTCTTATTATTTATAACTCCCTCATATTTACAGATATTTAACTAACTGGTGTTTGATTTTCTATCACAGTTAGTTTTGTGAAGCATAGCTAGACAGGAATGGAACCGTTTATCACCACTTACCTAACGTTACATCATGATCGTCACCTCTATGCTTAGTTTTTGCATGTGTGGAGATATTTCTGTTCTCTTTGTCCTCTGATGGTTTAAAGGGCTCCACGCAAACCCTGTCTCTCTCAATCTCACCAATGTTGTCCAGCAGGCACACATTTTCCACCTGAGAATGAGGTGAGGATTCAGGATCATCGACATGGCACAAAATGTTCCTTTCCGTTTCTTCGTCAGATGAAACCTTTGTTTGTTCTTCGAGAGATGTGCATTGATTGGTGTGAATAAGTTTCTCATTGTAGCTGTAGTTAGAAGTTTCGTTGGTGCTGCTCTGTTTGGTGACAGTCATGTTTGCACACTCAACCTCTCTCGTCCTCGACCCCTCTTCCATTTTTGAAAATTTGAATTTACCCACTGCAGGACGGCATCATGGGAAACACGGAAACCGGAAATCACGAGAAAGCAGATAAGAGTCTCATTCCTTTTTATCACAATTTTTATTTCACGTTTTTATATTAAAAAAGTGAGCGGTTAAAATATTCGTAGCAAATAAAAATCAGATCAATTCATTTTATTTTATTTTTTTACCTGTACCTTTTTTTTTCCTTTCGGGTTTTAAAGAAGCGGTTAATTGACGCCATCTGCAGGTTGACTTTTTCACTGTCAGGACTAGTAGACTATAAAAAGGTCAGCACCGTCAGCACCATTCGGTTCTTGGCCATTCTTTTCTAATTGCTATTATGTTATTGCAGGATTGATGGTAATTTGACAGCATTGGAGGTCTTTGTGCATCTAGAAACATTCCGTACACTAGCCAGAAGGCATGGAGACTTCTATAGACCATTTCACAAGATGTAAACAACACTGGTCCAGAAGCACTTCCTGTTTCAGTTTGTAACTGTTTTCTTTATTTCACATGTAAAGAAAACATCTTAAAGATGTTTGTTTAACTTTTTGATTCAGTTTTAAATGTTCTGTTGGTTGTATTTTATCCCAGCTTTTATGTAGTGTTAAAAAACTGAAACAGGAAGTGCTTCTGGACCAGTGTTGTTTACATCTTGTGAAATGGTCTATAGAGACATGGATAACATTCGGGACTTTATAGACTTTTACTGTTTTAAGTGCCCAACGTCTTGTCGAATAAATGCTTTTATCAATTAAATATTTACAGAAAATATGTTTGTTGTGTGTATTTTTGGAATAAGCTAATGTAATTTTTTTTTTAACATTTTTTTTTTTAATTTTAGGAACTCATTTCCAAGTGTGCACATCGTTCATTAATTCTTCAAAGCAACAGATTCTGAATGTTTCCAAAAGAATAATTAAATCTAAAGTCATCCTCCTTATGAGAACAGATCAATGTGTCTCATTGTATGTAGGTTAAAGGCATTTGTACCAAAACCACAAACCGATTGCTGCAACGTCACTTTCACAAAAAGTAAATCACCAATATCATTTGATCCATCGTTTGCATTACTAAATAGAGCTAGAACCTAAATTAGATAGATCCAAAATAATATTTCATCGTGTGCAGTGGAAGCAAGAACAATTGAACCTCTGTACAAATGTTACAAAATATGTTAGCATGGATTTCAAAAGTTATAATTAAAGTTAGATTGCAAGTAAGTTAGAGAGTGTAACTTACTAGTCGCTAAACAGAAATTGCGTTCGCCAGAGGTAACCATAGCAACAGTATATTCCATGGCAATTTGTGTCATTTTGGATAGATGGATGATAGAATATTTTATGTCAAATCTAAGGAAAAAGTCAGTCAATAAAGTTGCACATCACTATACCACTGTATTAAATATGTGCAAGTGGAAGATCCCGCATTACTACCACGCACGGCGCTCTTTTAAAGCTCTTTTACTCGCTCCCCACGGTTGCTACCCTACCAGCCCTACAACGCTTTGACGCTCAACCTAGCGCACGTCAAGCGTATGCGCATTTTATCTGACTGCCGCATGAAACAATCCAACCAAAACACCACTTCCGCGTACGACTCGACCAATCACCGAGCGCCGTTTTGTACGCAGCCTCCACGGGCAGCCTTAAGATAGGTTGCGTCACCGCACACAGTCTCCCCACCAAGTACAATTTGACAGTTTCTCAGGTGAGGAGTCACGCCACCGGAGCTCTTTTACTTTCTCTCGAGTTTCAGCGCGCAAATCACTGTGAGCCTGGGGTTGTTTAACTCAAAAAGCTTTTACCAGAAGCCCTCACACCACGGCACCATGAGCAAAAAGAAAAAGGAGTGGAGAGCGGAGAAAGGTAAGGCTCTTTTGGACTCTGGTCGCGTCTCTTCCGTTTAAAGACAGGATAAGATACGGTAGTGTCAGTCTGGGGTTTGACATCCACCGGGTTCAACATGCGGTTACGTCACGTACGTGGCGGGAGAAATGCCTTCATTTAGACGCTCTGCCTCTTGAATCAACAGCATGGGTACAGACGCACACCTTCAGGTGCAGGTGGAGCGTCAGTACACGATGCTGTGATCAAGGCCCTGATATATTCAACGTTAAATTATGTTTACATGCAAACAAAATATATGAATTAGTTTTTAGTCATTTTAAAATGAGCTGACACGTGTGTTTGTTTGGTGCAGCCAGTGAAACACCGAATGATCAAACATTTCCATGAACCTTTGTATCATATGACTTACTCTGTGTGGTGTGAACCTGTAACCGGTAAATCCCTGTTTACTGTAAATCAGTTTGTATATTTGCACTAGCTAAATTACTAATTAGAAGGGCTGTTAATGGATTAAAAGTTCAGTAAGATGAATATCTTGCGTTCTGCAGTGGCTCAGTCCTGGTTTTGTTTAGTGCCTTTGTTTTGATAGTTTACTTTCCAAACACTCCAAACTTTACAAACAAAACCTCTGTTTTTGTTACAGAAAAAAGCATTAAGGATAAACAATAAGATAGGCTACAGAGAACACACCAACTGTTTATTTGTAAATTCTGGACTTCTAAAATTCAAAGATTTGGTGGATTTGAAGATTTTGATTTGTATGTGGAAAGCAAAGCAGAGACATCAGGCTATGGATTTACAAAATTTATTCGCTGTCGTATCAGACGAGGATAGCCATAGAAGGCAATATCATTTCAAAACTCCTGCACGTACTACACAAAAACAGATGTGTTTGTCTATTTACGGAGTTAAACTTTGAAACACCTTGGACTACAAACTGAAGTGTTGCAAAAATGTGTGCAAATTGAAGAATTTGTATAAGAAAAAAAATACCGGAATGTTACAAGGAAAATGAAGATAATTACGTGTATAAACAGGTATTACTGAAAATGTTTGGTGATTGAGAGGTGAGGATTGGGGTTGATTCATTCATTTATAAAGCAGCTGTTTTTTGTCTTCTGTGTTTCTTTTACTGTGCACAAATAGGGACAGGTATTACAAGATTTTTTTCTTCTTCCTGTTCCTTTTTTTCGTTCATGGAAATAAAGTAATATTTTGTAAAACGGCATGAACGAATAAATAAATAAACAAACATTAGTTGGTTCAGTTATGATAAACCAATATTGGAGCTGCTGAACTATACTTGGAGGTTGTCTGCTGTTCTGTATGGTTCTATGCCATTTTAAAACAATCATATTTTAGCTTGATTTGATGTGAAAACCTTAATGTTTTTGTTATATCGGAGACACTTTATCATTATCATTAGATAATGACATCTTAAGTGCATAATCACTCCTATGTTGACATAAAAATCACCCACAGTTGAACCTAATGTTCATGACAACAGTGTTATGTCCTATGAAGGCGTGTAAAACATTAGGTTGACCCTGGAATTACTTTACACACATTATCGGTCTGTTATCGTGAATCAAATGCTTAATAATAATATCAATTATTTATGATAAGAGCTGTTGACTTGTGGCCTAGTGTAATAAAGTGTGCAGTAAATGGACATCAAATGTTTTCTTTATAATATCTTTTTTTTTGCTGATTTGATTTAACGAATCAGCGCTGTTGTCTTTTGTAGTATTTTAAAATATTACATTGTGTATACACATTGTGCTCATAAAGGAGCCCTTGAGAAAGTGATCTCATTTGTGTAGCAATAGGGAGTGCAGAAAGATAAAAACAGAAAAAAATAAATAAATTAATGAAGATGGTTGAAAAGGCAGATGTAGGGGGCAGTGAGCATGAAAAATCAGTAGTGTCGGCAGGGGCACTTTGGAGCTGGTTTATAACTGGAATACCAAGCTAAAGTTTCATTGTGTCTTAAAAGCGAGACATTTTTATTCTGGGAGGGTTTTAGAGCTTGTTATATTTTATGTTTTTGTTAACTTATTCTCACCACATAATACATAGTAAAGCCATTACAATAAAAAAAACTATGTTTTTATTTTTATTTTAATTTATATGTAATACAGAATTATGGAAAGTATATTTGCTGCTGCAATTTTTTTTCTGTCCATTCTACGAAAAAACCCTTAACAAAAAGTGTTATTTTGTGAAGGAAAGGTCGCATTAAAGCTGGAGTCCGTAGTTTTTTTTTTTTTTTTTTTTTAGGTTAAAAATGATCCAAAATACATTTTTGAGAAAATTCATAACCAGCCTGTGTTCTAAAAGATCTGCTTGCCTTAGCTTGATTCAAAATGGTTGTAATTCTGTTTTTAATTCCAGTGGTACTGGTAGATTTCCGCGGGAGAATCGAGCATGCCATTACGTCCCATCTGTACACTCACATCTGTACACATAAAGGAATAGTCTCGGCTAGTAAACCATGAGTGTGAGGATGTTTGAGGTGAAGATTTATAGCCTTTTCTCACAGCACTTGGTATAATTAAACTTATCAATTTGATAGTGAATCCAGAAAGTTTCAAACGACAATCACCAGTGACAACGGATTCACCCGCTGTAAAAGAGGCTACATAAAAAAAGAGACTGCAACTGGCCCATGTGGAAATGAAGATAATATCGGAAGAACATGACATGTGGTCACACAATGCTGACAAAGAGAACAAAATATAATTTGCACGGTTTTGCGTGATATGATAACTTTCTAACGATTGTTAGATTTAATCGGCACGATTTACTGCAGTGTCAGAACCAGAACAAAAGTGGATGTTTCTTACTAGTTCAGATTACATTGTCTGGTGAAAATTCTTATGTTGGTCATACTTCCAAAAAGAATAATCTGTATCCACACCGACATGGTGACTGACAGCTGCACACTCTCCTCAAACATTGTGTTCATCCACGCCGTGCCGTGTCGAAATACAACTCGCGTTAAGTTGATAATTCCGTGAATGACTGCAACTGCAGATTTCGAACAGAGATGGCGACAAAAAGGAAAAACGCCAGACTGCAGGTTTAACTGGAGAAACAAAAGTGAAACTGAAATTGTAGGAACCAACTGTGTAAGCTTTAGTCTAATGCTAAACTAGTTAATGAAACATGACTTTATTACAATGAAAGGCACATAAATATTTGGGAATTATTTTTTTTAATCACGTTGTCCATGAATGCTAGATAGAACTGATCACACACGGTCTGGTTGCATGTCAGGCCTGCAGCTGTATGCTGAGCAGTGTACCCTCATTAGCCTGTCTCTGCTTTCTCACACATACTTAC